AGCAGTAGAATAATCACACCAAAATTCACTCTTCCCCTCTCATCTTGATTCGTCATTATTGTGAAGAATCACTAAAAACCACAGAAATCAGTACCTTCAAACTCCTCTCCACATTTCTCTGCGTTTCCTCTGAAATCTTCATCAAACATTTCAATATTCATCTTCAACGTTCAATCTTCATCACTGAACTTCGATGCCTTCAATCATATTCCTCGCACCTCTGCTTCATCATCTTGCAACAACAACTTTTACTACATCCTCGCATCCTCAATCTGCATCTTCGAGCATCATCACCATCATCGATCCCATACTTCTCGGAGTAACTTCTCTGCAATCTTCAACCTTCATCGCTTCAATTCTCCATTGCAAGAATCACAACAACATTTCAATTCAGATCGAGGCAAAAACAAAAGCAAATCGCGAAAATCGCAGAAGAACGAGAAGGAGAAAAGCTTAGACGGAAGAGCTTTCTGGAAATGGGTTATTACCTCTGGTTTTCTTGTAATACCGACGTAGTTGAAGAGCCTCCGGAGCGGGCCGTTTTATTTGAAGAAGAAGATCCCCTATATCGAGTGAGATGAAGAGTCATATGCTTAACCCTAGTGTAAAATGCCCAAACGAAGTCGTTCACTTTAATTCCACTATGTTCAGATTTTATTTTCTTAGGTAATATAATAAAGGAATAATAATGTTGCAATGAATTGGACTAGGTAAGAATTTGTGTTGGACCGAGTTAACCCTCCTTTAGGTCCATCACGATTTTTTTAGGCTTGCAAGTTAACTGAACAAAAAACAGCTGATGGACTCAACCTGATGGGCCCTAGAGCCTATTTGCTACTACAGAACTTGTTTCCAGATCCACACTCCCCTGTGTAGAGTTTTTTAGTTTTTTTTTTAGCTTTTTCTTTTCATAAATGTTAGATAACAATTTTGTTAATAAAAAATATTGATGTAACAAAAACATTAATAAAAAATGTTAGATTTTAGGAGATATTTTTAGGAATTAAATTAGGATTATCTGATTACTCGAGATTTGTAATTCACCTTTGCTTGTTGAGATCTGAGTCTTATGCAGGTTTATTGTGTGATATGCGGATATGCTTCAGATTCTGATTGTGATTTATTTTTACGTCAATGATGCTTCGACGCTTATTCCGAGCATTTGATTTCTGACTTTTCTCTATTGCTTGGTGAAGCTTGCTCGAAGTTTTCTGGGTTTCTTTGCTCTGCTCGCTGTGTTACGAACTTTTGTTCGTTTGGTATCATTCTGATTCTGGTTTATCTTTTCTCACTTTATTTCTTTCTAGATATCACGAGAAGTATGAAATAAGGAGCGTGTGCTTGAAGTCGCTGTTTAAAAGTCCTGTAGCAGGCATTCGACACTTATTTGCTACTTGTGTTTGTATTTGTGTTTGCTTCCTTTGTGGAAGATTGATGATGTCACTCAATTGAGAAAACGACTTTGATCTTTGCATGCTCCCCATAGGATTTCATGGCTTATTTCTTTTGGCGATCAATGATGTCACTCAATTAGAATTGAGATAACAACTTCGATCTTTGCATGCTCCCTTAAGACTTTATCGTTTTCCTTTGTTAATGATCGATGATGTCACTCAATTAGAATTGAGATAACGACATTGATCTTTGCATGTTCCCTATAGGATAGTTATATTCGCCTTTAGGTTTTAGGTATTCTAAGTTAGGTAGGGATTTCCCTTGTGTGTGCTCTCTTGAGTTTGTTGATTACTTGCTTTCCATCCTTGTATGCATGTTTTCTTAGGTTATGAACCTTTAACATTTTCCCTTAGGAGCTCTTGATCCACCCTTTGATGGTAATTCGAGATAGACATAGGTTTAGGTTGTGAACCTTTTCTATGCTCCCTTAGGACTTCTCGATTCAACCTTTGGCAATGATTCAAGATAGATATTAGGATTGCAATTCATGCTACTAACATAGGATATATATTTCCCTTTCAAACTCAACCTTAGGATCAATCATTGTATGATAACATTAGATATTAGATTTAAGATAGTCTCCCTTTGTTGTTTTTCTTTTCTTTTTCATAATTGCATTAAAACTAAAACCTTTTTCTTGAAAAATGCATAAAACATCTAACAACCTTTAAATCCTTCTTCAAGGTAAAAAATATCAACCAATGCAAACTCTTTTGCGCCTTCGGGCCCCTTTCTTTCAAACTTCAAAATGATGTGTTAATTCTACTTTACACAACACGATGCATAAATCTCCAAAGGTCGGGTGGCACTATGTCTAAATTGCTAGAGAAAAAATGTAGCATTATCCGCCTTCGAGCATTTTTTCTTTGTAAATACCTTGTTAGGTAGAACATGTTAATTCACTTCTGTGCTGACGCATGAGTCTCTAAAGGTCGAGCTGCGGAAGAAGGCAAAATTAATATTATTCATTAAAAAACACAAAACAAATCGAAACATGTGAGCCGAACTACGACACTTTGATTCCTTAAAAGGGATACATAGGCATCTGGTCACGGGGCTCATCCGAGAAAAACTTTGTAAATATTTCCTTCTTTTCCCTGTGTTTTCTTTGGCATGCATTCCCTCTTTTCATTTTTCTTTTACCTCGTAAGCGTAGATTTGAACACACCCTTTAATTAGAAACAAGAGTGGATACCGTAGAGTACTATGGGCGTGTGGGGTGATAATACCTTCCCCTCGCGTAATAGACTCCCTTACCCGTATCTCTTGGTCGTTTGAATTTGATTTCATCCTTCTCAGGTTTAGTCGATGTTTACCATTCCCTTCCCGTGAGATAAAAAATGTTCGATGGCGACTTCATTGATTTCATCTTGATGATTTGTTTCACCTTGGTAAAGATATCAGCCAACTATTTTTTAGCGCTCATATGCTCCAGAGTAACAACTCTGTCTTCAACAAGATCTTTGATAAAATGATGCCTGATGTCAATGTGCTTAGTTCTGCTATGTTGTAGGATTTTTAGAAATGTTTATTGCACTCAAGTTGTCACAGAATAATTCCATGGCATCTTTCTTCACATTATACTCTTCTAAAATTTGTTTCATCCAAACAAGCTGAGAACAACTACTTCCTGCTGCAATATATCAAACCTCAGTAGTGGATAGAGACACAGACTTCTTCTTTTTGATGAACCAAGTGTTTTCCTGTGGATTTGGTAAACAACACTTGTCTCTTGAAAACAAGTTTACATGAGAGATCAACCAAGGAATCTCGAAGCAATGCTTCAGTTCGCGTGTGTAGTCAAAGTGTTTTTTTAAAAAGGGTGCATTCGATTGGGAGCCAAACGTATTTAAATTGCAAAACTTAAGGACAGAAAGACGAAGTAAAGGAAACAAAAAATCATTTTAAGTTGTAAAATATAATGACATAACATTAAAGAAAGTTGGAAAATAGGTTGATTCAAATATACATTGCATTTGCCTGACTCGTTTCACTCGTTCGCTTGGTTACTTTGAGTGACTAGCGTGCAAAAATGTGAAAAGTTTGAACTTTTACAAAATTGAAATAAGTGGTTTATTTATAATACATAGAAATAAATACTTTCTAAGTGGGCTTCGTTTCCTTGCATGCCACGTGTTCTTCGTAACTTCCTCTCACGAACCAATGTTCTCTATTGTAACTTCTCTTTGTGAACCCATGTTCTCCATTGTGGTCGAACCCATGTTCTCCCTCCATAACGTTTCTCCTTTACAGTTTAGGGCGCTTATGGGCCTTTTAACTCTTTTGGGCTTCTCTGGGCCCAATCCCTTCACCATGAACTTTTTTCTGGTCGACTGCGCCTACAAAACCTTGGTCGCACGCCTGTGAAGTCAACCACGATCGACATGCTTTGGTAGTCGAATCTTCATAACTTAATGTTCTTTAATGCTCTTAAAAGACCCTTTTTGACTTTTGGTTTGGATTTCTCTCTTTATGAAAATCCCAGCCAACAAATTGCCCCCCAAAATGTCTTTTTCGACTGAAGGGGAAGAAGCAGACATTTTAATCCTTTCCTCTTAGTGCAAAGTGACGTCACTGTAATCATGACTTTATTCTACAAACTTTACATCAACGATCACACAACCACTCTCCTACTTTCTAGCTTCAACTTCCTAGGACAGTCATGACCTCTAACTTACTAACTTCCTCACGTCAGTTTCCATTTGTTTGACATGTGTCGGTCGTGTGGCCACAATTTTCTCCCACTTTCATCTTAAATGTTTTGGTTCTTCGGTGGTATAAATACCCTTTTCAATATTTCATTTTCTTTTTATGCTCTGTTTGCATCCTTAAACTATTAGCTTCCAAACTCAGCAAACAAAAACCCCTTTGTTTTTACTCAAAACATCCAATCACCTTTTATGGCGTCTCCAAGCCAAATTGTTGAACACATTAACACTCCTCATGCGATTAAGCTAGTTTCCATTATACCTAAGTTCCTCGCTGTTGATGGACAAGCCTTTATGTTGGAACCAAACCCAACACACAACATTTCTACTTTCTGCTCTAATCTGTTACTTCCATTTGTCTGCAACAACATTGCATACGCTCTCATGGGACCCACCCCTTATGAGATAGGGCACCAAAAAATATGCAAAAAATGCTTCCCTATTCATAGAAGCACAAGGCCCCCTATCACCCGAAGTGTCCTTTAGATTTCTCCCATATCTACAAGACCTCAAAAGTCTTTCACTCTGCTCCTGTTGTCAACTAGGACTACATTGCATGGTTGAATAAGGTGGATAAGGTTAAAGGTGATGTCTAGAAGTCCCAAGGCATCATTAACCTGAGTCAACTTTCTAGTTTTGTCATTAGTTACTGCAACTATATGATGGTTTTCTACATTCTACTTCTGGGAGGGTTCCACAAACACGTTTCATTTTGCAATTGGTATGCTAACCCCTATACTGTTCGACGTTGCGGCTATCACCGACCTTTATCCTACAGGTGAAACTTTCATCCCTAGTGCAACTGATGAAGATGTCATTCCTTTTGATAAGGATTTCGCTAGTTTCACTAAGTACATGGAGCATTTTCCATGCTAAGTGTGTCGACATGGTGTCTGATGAAGAGTACATCGCCTTTTTGGCCTTATGCCGCTCTAAATATATTTTCTACGGTAGGTCTCTAAAGGTGGAAAAATGTTTTATTGTGTTGGCGTATCACCTCTACATGGGTCGAAACACTTGCTTGAGTGAACTCATCCTGGGGTCGCTCTATGAATCAATCAGTGTGGGGGTTGACCAGATGACCTCTCTTACACCAACTGCTAGCTATCTGCTAGCTGGCCATTTTGGCTGCTGCAATTGTGGCTGAATGCCACCTTTGGAGATCAGCTAAAATTAAAGCTTTCATAAGCACATGAGGCATTCTTTGCCAGTAGTGCCATTGAAGGCCCTCGTCTTGCTGCGATGACGCCATTAAGCGACGACCTAACTCGAGAGGAGGCGCTTAAAACGTACT